TGGAAGTTGGAGTTTATTTTGTGCTAAAGTGGTACGGTTTTTTGAGCATTTCTCTTGGCATGTATATTTATATATTTCGTTGAATATTCGTGTTTATTCTTGTCTCTCTGTCTTCTCTTTCCTTTAGTATATTGTTTTTATTGTTCATTTATTATCTGCTGTGTTGTAAATCTGTCTCTAATCTGTTGTATTTCTATGTCCGTCAACATGTGCTACTTCTCTCTTTCTCTCTCTCTCTCTCTCTCTCTCTCTCTCTCTCTCTCTCTCTCTCTCTCTCTCTCTCTCTCTCTCTCTCTCTCTCTCTCTCTCTTCTCTCTCTCTCTCTCTCTCTCTCTCTCTCTCTCTCTCTCTCTCTCTCTCTCTCTCTCTCTCTCTCTCTCTCTCTCTCTCTCTCTCTCTCTCTCTCTCCTCCTCCTCCTCCTTCCTCCTCCTCTTCCTCCTCCTCCTCCTCCTCCGCCTCCTCTTCCTCCTCTTCTTCCTCCTCTTCTTCCTCCTCCTCTTCCTCTTGCTTTTCATCTTCCTCCATTCTATCCAACAAACCCATGTCTTTCGCTGTCTACTCTATTGGATTGAATTTACTCTGTCTAACCCGCCCCCTATTTCCAGCGAGTATTTACGTTTATTGTGGGAAGGGCAACGTCTTTCTCTCTCTGAAGGCTTTCCTTGTCCCAGTATAAGCTCTTGGATCCTTTGTGTTTCTCAAATTAGGGGTTTTAATTCTACTTGCATACATTTTCGTGCGTGGCAATTAGCATAATTCGAATTTTTATTGTGTCTAATTATGAAATTAAAGCTTAATGTAATTCTCCTTTTGATGTGTTGCTTTGGATTAGATTTATTCTGTTTACGGTTGTACTTGTGTACGCCCCATTGGGGATTATGTAGACTGTAAGTCGTTTGTCCGAACTTTGATATTCGTTGCAGGCATCTTCGAAGAAAGTGTATGTGTGTGTGTGTGTGTGTATTTGAGAGAGAGAGAGAGAGAGAGAGAGAGAGAGAGAGAGAGAGAGAGAGTGTGTGTGTGTGTGTGTGTGTGTGTGTGTGTGTGTGTGTGTGTGTGTGTGTGTGTGTGTGTGTGTGTGTATGTATGTATGTATGTATCCATGTTTACGAACTCTTATGTGTATACTCTAACACTCGCTACAATTTAAATAAACCTAGAAAATAAAGCTAAAAAAAAAAAAAAAAATCTCGCATTTGGACCCCGTTAGCATTCACAACAGATTCTACGGCCCTTAATAACATTCAAAACCGAACCAGCATAATACCTACCATAGCACCAGTAGAGGAGATCGTTGCCAAAGCTCGATCTACTCTCCTCCCTATGGCATCCCCCGGAAGTGAGAGAGAGAAGGAGAAGGAGAAGGAGAGAGAGGGGGACAGGGAGGGAGGGAGAGGGAGAGGGAGAGGGAGAGGGAGAGGGGGAGGGAGGGAGAGGGGGAGGGAGGGAGAGGGGGAGGGAGGGAGAGGGGGAGGCAGGGAGAGGGGGAGGGAGGGAGAGGGGGAGGCAGGGAGAGGGGGAGGCAGGGAGAGGGGGAGGGAGGGAGAGGGGGAGGGAGGGAGAGGGGGAGGCAGGGAGAGGGGGAGGCAGGGAGAGGGGGAGGCATGGAGAGGGAGAGGATGAGGGAGAGGAAGAGGGAGAGGCAGAGAAAGAGAGAGAGAGAGAGGAAGAGGAAGAGGGAGGAGAGAGAGGGGGAGAGAGGGGGAGAGAGAAGGGGAGAGAGTAGGAGAGGGAGGGGGAGATGCACATTTTTGACAATATATGTATAAAGAAGGAGACAAAAAAATCTATAGATAGATAAACTGATAGATAGATAGATAAATTTACAGATAGCCATGTATATAAACAGGTACGTAGGTAGATAGATATATTAGAAAGATAGATAAATATATTAGATATATAGATATATTAGAAAAATATATATATTAGATAGATAGATAAATAGACAGATAGATTAGACAGATAAATTAGACAGATAAATTAGACAGATAAATTAGACAGACAGATTAGACCGATAGATTAGACCGATAGATTAGAGAGAGAGAGAGAGAGAGAGAGAGAGAGAGAGAGAGAGAGAGAGAGAGAGAGAGAGAGAGAGAGAGAGAGAGAGAGAGAGAGAGAGAGAGAGAGAGAGAGAGAGAAAATGAATGAATGGATGAATGAGAGAGAATAGCAGAGACGTGGCTAAAGGGAAGGCACAGTATAGCACAATGGCTCTATGCCGCACCTACATTTTCCCTCCAATGATGTTATTATGACCCTCCCTTCGTAGAGCCACAAGTTGCGGAAATACCTCCCCTTAAAATAGCGAAGACTATCCCATACTCCCCCCCCCCCATAAATAATAGAAGAAATAGGGGCACATTATAGAAAAAAATAGGGTACAGAGTAACGCAATTAACCCCCGTTTCTTTACGGAGACTCATTCTCTCCTTCGCTTGTCCCCCCCCCCAGCCTTCGCCACAACAGCCTCCTCCTCCTCCTCCTCCTCCTCCTCCTCCTCCTCCTCCTCCTCCTCCTCCTCCTCCCCTCCTCCTCCTCCTCCTCCTCCTCCTCCTCCTCCTCCTCCTCCTCCTCCTCCTCCTCCTCTCCTCCTCTTCCTCCTCCTCCTCCTCCTCCTGAAGCGTCAACAATATGCAGGCGGAGGATTTCGGGTCCAAGCAACAGTGCTGGAAGGAGGCGCGGTTGCCGGTTCGTGCGATAATTTTCCCCCTCTTTCTTTGTCTCCTGTGCGTCGCGTGAGAAAAAAAGGGAGGAAGGTACGGAAAGGGGTACGAAGAAAGGAGGAAGTAGGAGAGAGGAGAATGAGGGAGTGAGGGAATGGGAGAATAAGGGGAGGAAACTTTGAATAAATGAGGTATAAGGAAAATAGAGACTGCTTATATTCATTGAATTATAGTCTTGCTCAAACTGATAGTAGTATTTGACGTAATATCAACCCGTTATAGAAACAGCCGAAGGAACGTTGTGTTTGTACATGTATCCGTGTATATATGTATGTATACGCATATAATCTTCCCTTCCAATGAATTTACACTAATACCAGTAAAAGTACCAACTCTTTCAATGTATTCCCCAACAAAACCAAAAGAGTATATACATATAAAGGCGTTCCATCTAATTGTGTCTTTTCTCATGGCCTTAGATAAGTTTCCCCTGAAAATCATAAGAATGGACAGATATTAATGTATTTAGCTTTGTCTTGTCCTTTTCTTTTTATCCCCAATGCCTTTTTTTCCTTTTTTTCTGTAATTAGGCTTTCTTATCGTTCTTGTACCACTTGACCACCGTTTGTCAATGTCCATTATCATATGTTTCATTTAATTGGCTGCCTTTTTTATTACAGTTTCATTGCTTTCACTATCCCCCTCTTCTATTTCATCCCCGTGATATGTATTCTGTGTTATGTGTGACAAGAAATATTAGTAGTAGTAGTGGTGCTAATAGTAGTAACAACAACAAAATACCACTACAACAATAATAATAACAACAGCAACAATAAAAAATAACAACAATCACAATGATACAGATTATAGCAATCCTCAACCGAAGACATCGCTCACCAATGAGGACCTGTTAATATCGTTTACCAATGAAAACCTGTTAATATGATAACAACAGCAACAACAAAAAGCACTCTGGAAAGGCCACTGACCCTTGCCATGACACGGCCGAGCGCTGGCACATCCCGTCCCTTCTCATCTCGATCTCTTCTCTCGACGGCTTGCTCTTAAGGTCTAGCGTCGCAAGGCAGGCTACGTAACTCTAGTACATCAGATCTGTAAAAAAAGGGTAACTTACCCCGTGTCTTGAGTATTTAGAATCTTCGAGGCTATTTGATATGAAAATAAATTAAGAAGTAGCTGAGATTTAAAGTTTACGTTATGTATGTTTTGTTTAATGTGTGTGTGTGCGTGTGTGTGCGTGTGAACGTATAACGTGTCCACCTCTGTGTGTGTGTGTGTGTGTGTGTGTGTGTGCATGTGTGTGTGTGCATGTGTGTGTGTGCATGTGTGTCTGTGCATGTGTGTGTGTGCATGTGTGTGTATGTGTGTGTGTGCATGCGTGTGCGTGTGCGTGTGCGTGTGCGTATGTGTGTATTGAAATTTTCTACCTTTACTTTATCATTTTGATTAAAAGCCACCTGTCGAATCGAAGTAGGCCCACACCAGAACCCTAGCCGAGTTGCCAGTTTTTTTTTTCCTTTCCTCTGACAATAGAGACCATTGCAGCATATCATCACCGGCAGAACTGAGCTGTGACGCCCCGCCGAGGTTATTGCATTATCGGTACCCACCAAAAACTCATCTCTGATATTAAAATGATTAATAGTTTGCACGACATGGAGAAGCGATATTCAAAAATAACGATGATCAACTAGGCGTGAGTTCAGTGAAGTTCAGATGCAGATATCTTATTGAAATGATAATGATGATGATAATTATGATATTTATTATTATTACTATTATTATTGTTGTTATTTTTATCATTACCCTAATCATTATCATTATCATTATTACTATTATTATTATGATCATTATTATTGTCATTGTTTTTATTATTGCTATTATTGTTGTTGATTTGATTTGCTGTAAGTTAACCATCACCATCCTTGTTACTGCTGTCACAATTTTTATCATAACCATTTTTACTAACTATATCATCAAAATCTCATTATAGGTAAAAAGAGAGCAAAAGGGGAAGAGAAAAGCAAAGAATAGAGATAAATTGGAAAAATAAGATAAACGTTGAAGAAAACAAAAGACATAAGAAATAGATAAACAAATCAATTGAATACAAAACAAAAAACAGAACATCAATTCAAATCAAAACAAAAACGAAAACAAATAATAATAAAAACGAAACAAAACATTTCAAAAAAAGAAACTAATCAAATCAAAACAAAACACAAAACAAACAAAAACAAAACTCAAATCAAAACAAAACCGAAATCAACACCTCCGTCTGACTCGCCTTCCTCCCTCCCTCCCCCTTCAAG